AAACTACGATCATCTGATAAAAGAATTTACCCGTCTAACCATTTTTTTACATCGGCTGTCGTTAAAAAGCCAGAGTATGTGAAGAAACAACATGCTCATAGCTCTGTTTGTAATAAATGGTAGAAAAGAAGTGACTTAATTGTACCATGCAATGAAGAAGATCTTGCTCTTGTGGCAATTTTCATCGGTCGTGAAGTCATAATCAAAGACCGAGTATCGGCAGTCCCCTTCCGGAAGGCTCCGGGCGAAATCCTCGTACGTCTCGGTGCTGCTGCCGACTTTTTCAACCGTGACCTGCTGTTTCGTGTCGTCGATCATGAACACGATATATCTGTGGTTCCTTTTCGCCTTCAACTCCAAGAATTTGAGCTTGCATTCGTCGCTAACCGCAATCCCAGATGCCGAGTTCGCCTTAATGAAACAAAGCCAATCAAAAACAAAACGCCAGATCAAATGAAACAAACATTAGTACACATCACAATATATATATATAATCATATAATCATTTTCTTCTTTTGATTACACACTCAAAAATATACAACAATAAAAGAAAAAAAAAAAAATTGGTGGCTTACCATGTTGTGTTAACTTGTCTAATGAGGAAAGATAACCAAAGAACAATTGTTTTTTTTTTTTTTTTTTTTTTTTCATGAGAAGTGGTGGAAAATGGAGTGTTGATGGTAAGGAAGAATATTGCAAAAGGGCTCCTTGATTTTTGTGGGGTATTGGTGTTGAAATAATATTCAGAGGTTGAGAGGGATTTTAGGGTGTTTATTGCTCAAAAGAAAGTAGAACAAAAATATATGTAAAAATTGAAAATATGTGAGAGGTCTGGCTTCTCGATTTATGCGTGTAATCCTTGCGCATGGATCATGCTAACTTTTATGTATCGTTCCAATTTTATCGGATGTCCCCGAAGGGACGTGAGATGTCTGCCTCACATTTCTGGATTTTCAAATTGCAAGTTTGCAACATATAGTATTTACCAAAAAAAAAAGGATATGAAAATTCTTGAAATGACTTAAAAATAATAGTTTAGTAAAAGTGTTCAAAACTCGTGCATTTTTAGATTTGTATGTATTGAGTAGCCCATTGAAATGCTATTGGATAAGTGAGAGAGATTCATATGGATGAGAAAAGTTGGTGGAGTAGAAGTGTAAAAGTCAAGTTTAAGCTCCTAGTAATCAAGCCTTGATCAAGAAAATTAGGTTCCTTAACAAGATGAGTTAATAAATTAACTCGAGTTCGGATCATTAATACTGAGCTATAGAAAACTATGTAAGAATTTCTATTTTGGAGTCCGAACGAGTTGAACTCAACTCTTTAACTAAATGAGCTTTAAACGAGCTCGAGCATGACTTGTCTATCAATCAAGCCAAAACGAGTCAAGCTCACGAGCAGCTCGTTTTATTTAACTACTCTAAACAAATTGAGTGATTAATTAGAGAGGATGTATAAAAATGGAACAATATGGAGATAATCCGATTAATACTCAAATAAATTAGCGTACTATTTTTGTCCAAAAATATATATATGATGATGAAGAAAGTAATTTATCAAAGATTACGATTTGATCTTGGCCCAACTCAGTTCCAAATATAAGGGCCTAGTCAGCCCATTTCTAGTTCGACATGCGATGGGCTATTTCAAATCAGTTTTTTGTTTTCATGACTCAAACATCCGACTCAAAGATACTTTTTGACATACATATGCCCAATGAGTCCCAGACCCGATCGACTCGGAATCGGGCGGGTCTTTTGAACCGGACAACAAAGTATCCTGTCAAACACAGTCAAAACCCAAAATGAATTATATTTATTTACAAAATAAATTATATACATATATATATTCACAAATATAATTATCAATTACGAGATACAATATTATTATGAATTTAAAGTTTTTTTACATGTAAATTATTGGTTTTGTTATTTTTATGATCTTTAGAAGAAAAAAAAAATAGTAGATACATAATGTAAAATTTTCACCAATTAAAATTATCCGATTTTAGCAATTGACTAGTAATATGGTAGTTGAACCAATAACTCAGTAACCCAAAGCCTCAGTTATTGGGTCGGGTTTTAAAAGTTAAAACATTGCTATATGATATTGCTAAGATTATGTTTGGTAAAACTAGTTGATAACTTAGTTGTTGTTGTTATCAGTTTTCGTAACAACCTTAGCTTATACCTCATTAGTAACGTTCGAGCTTATAGCTTATAGCTTATGACTTAGCTGAAAAACTACTTTAGATGATAAAAGTATTTGGTAAAATTAGCTAATAAGCTAGATGAAACAAAAAATTATTCGAGCTTATTTGAAAAACTATCTAAAGAAACATAACAAATAAGTTCGAACTTTTTTAAAAAACACGTTATACCAAACATAGTTGTTTGAATACAGAGAGATTATAAATTAATCAAATAAACTATAAGCTAGCTTATTTATCGTAAGTATTTTTACATGAAATAATATCCCAACTTAACTTAGATATGAAGAAATTTACATGTAAAATCATTTGTTGCAAATTGTGGCCATGTACTTTTATGCCAAACCACAAACACAAAAGCATGTCTCTTTTTTTTTCTTTTTCTTTTATTTTTTTTCGTGAAATATCAGTCAACATGTCAATAATTAAATGCACCATAGCTTATAATATTTTACTAGAAAAATTAATGGCTTCAGTTTGGTACATGACAATGGACCCACTCACTTCATTTATCTAATTATTCATCACAATTTGTACGAAATAATGTGAGATATTATAATAAAAAAATATTATATTAACTATCATATTATTATTTATTTTAATTTTTAATTTATAATAGAAATTTATATATCAAAAATAATATGTGGGGCTAATATGAATAATTAAATAATATTAATTTTTTTGGTAAGTTACATTTGGGACACGCATATTATTTATTTAAATTCTTGAGTATTTTCCAGTTTAAGCAGTGGTCACGTGTTCGAGCCTTGGGAATGCAGCAGTGTTAAAAACTCTTGAGGGAAAGTTTTGCCGCCCTTGTGATCTTACCCGAATCGATTCCAAATTAGTCGGTTACTCTGTGAATCCAGAAACTGAAAGTTCCTATACCAAAAAAAAAAAAAAAAATGAAACACATGTAACAATCAGGCAGTGCCCACGACCTTTCCACCATTTGTACCTTTCTATTTGTCTTCGTCTGTCGTCTTCCTTGATTTTTCTCTCATTAATTTCGCACAATTTTAGTATTTATAATGCATTTACTCTGGTTTTTTAAACTACAGACTAAAGAAAACAAAGGAGATAATAAATCAGTAGTTTTTAAAGCGTTAGGGACAAAGGTAACCTTCGATTTCTTGCTCTTTCTTTCTGGGTTTACGAGTTTTAAGGTTGTTTTTACTTTTTGATGTTATCTGTGAATTGTGATGTTTTTTTTGTATGTAAAGACTCCAGCTTTATTGTGGGCAGGCCAAAATTTGTATGTTTCTATGCGTTTGATTTGTTAATGTTATATTCAAGAATCTTCTTTTATGTGGGTTTGTTGATTTACTTATGAATCAGAAGATAACAGTATCATCAGCCGTAGATTAGAATAAAGTTGGAATCTTTGTGTGTACAATTGGAAAATTTCTGCAAATTATGTCACTGTGAGTATATATGGGAAATTGATTCTTTGAAGACCTCATTCTTTTCTGGTTTTAAGATGCATTAAGAATGTATTCCCTTTTTCTTTTCTTCGTTTTTTACATATTATCCTTGAAGGTTGGTTGTGAAGTTTGGCCCGTTAATATTGATAAACGAGCCGAGCTAAAGGTTTGATATCGGCTGTTGATGTTTTTTATTAGATAGTGTTAGCTCTATATGTTCTAACATTTTCATTTTTCTTCTCTTCCAGTTTCGAATTTTAGTGCTAATAAAAAAACCCTCTGTTTATAGCTTCATCATGAGTAATCTCAAGCTAGTAGTCGAGGTCGTGCGGGCCCACAACCTAATCCCCAAAAACGGCCACGGCTCGTCAAACCCGTATGTCGAGCTGGAGCTCGACGGCCAGAAATTCCGTACAACCGTCAAGGAAAAAGACCTCGACCCGTATTGGAACGAGTCGTTCGTTTTCAACATATCTGACCCGACCCACCTGCACGGCCTCACGCTCGAGGCCCACGTGTACAACACCAATAAGCCCGGAAGTTCTAAATCCTCACTCGGAAAGATCCGGATTTCCGGCTCGTCGTTTGTTCCCTATGCCGATGCCGTCGTTTTCAACTATCCTCTTGAAAGAGGTAGCATGTTTTCGCGCTCGACGGGTGAGCTCGGTTTAAAAGTTTACTTAACCGATGACCCGTCCATCAGGCCTTCCGTGCCGGTTCTCGAGACGAGCCTTCCGGACGAGTCGCCTCCTCGGAAACCGGGGAATCGAGTGCCGAATGGAAAAAAGGGGTCAAGACGCACGTTTTTTAATCTCTCCGCCTCGAGTAACCAGCAAAAACCGGTTGTATATGGGGGGGATAGTAATCGTGTGAGGCCTGAACCAGTAACCGGGCCTGTGTATGCGGGCCCGTTCGTACATCCTGGTGTGGATTTCACACTAAAGGAGACGAGCCCGGTTCTTGGAGCGGGCCGGGTCATGTACGACCTGGTCGAGCCCATGCAGTTCCTTTTCGTGAGGGTCGTGCGGGCCAGCGGACTCCCCCGAGAGCCCGACCCGTACGTGGAGGTCCGGCTCGGGAACTACCGAGGAATCACGAGGCACTTTGAAAAGACCGATTCTCCCGAGTGGAACACGGTTTTCGCGTTTTCCAAGGATAGAATCCAATCGTCAGTTCTTGAAATCATCGTCAACGACAAGAACATGGTTAAGGACAATTTTGTCGGTGCCGTTCGGGTCGAGCTCAATGAAGTCCCCACACGGGTCCCACCTGAAAGCCCCTTGGCCCCACAATGGTATCGTCTCGAGGACAAAAAGGGGAAAAAAAAGGATAATAAAGGCGAGTTGATGTTGGCGGTTTGGGTCGGGACTCAGGCAGACGAGGCATTTCCCGAGGCATGGCATTCGGACAGCTCGTATTCGTCTTCGTCGGCACACACGCGCTCCAAGGTGTACCACTCGCCTCGTTTGTGGTACGTTCGGGTGAACGTGATCGAGGCTCAAGATTTAGTCTCGGTTAATGAGAGGAATCATCTCCCGAGCATGCACGTGAAGGCTCGAATCGGGAACCAAATCGCGAAAACGAGGCTCGTTTCGTCTCGGAGTGGAAACGCCACTTGGAACGAGGATTTGATGTTTGTTGCGGCCGAGCCGTTAGACGACCAAATCGTGCTCATGGTGGAGGACCGCGTGGGCCCGAATAAAGACGAGGTTCTTGGTAAGGTTTCTATCCCGTTGTCCACGGTCGAGAGGCGCGCGGATGATCGAGCCGTGAACTCTCGATGGTTTAATTTGCGAAAAACGAGTGATGATGATGATATTGAGGTTGAGTCGAAGAAAGATGTAAAGTTTGCTAGTCGGGTTCATATCCGGGTTTGCCTTGACGGTGGGTATCACGTCTTGGACGAGCCCACGCACTACAGTAGCGACCTTCGCCCGACCGCCAAACAGCTCTGGAAGCCTCCAGTCGGGTTTCTCGAGCTCGGGATTCTAAATGCTGATGCCCTTACGCCCATGAAGACCCGAGACGGTCGTGCCACGTCAGACACTTTCTGCGTCGCAAAATACGGGACGAAATGGGTTCGGACGAGAACAATCACCGACAGTTTGAATCCGAAGTACAACGAGCAATACTCGTGGGAGGTTTACGACCCGGCCACCGTCTTAACTGTCGGAGTTTTTGACAACTGTCGCGATAGTGATGCTCGGATCGGGAAAGTTCGGATCCGAATCTCGACTCTGGAATCGGGTCGGGTCTACACGCACTCGTATCCGCTTCTAGTGCTTCATCCCTCGGGAGTGAAGAAAACGGGCGAGCTCCACCTGGCGATCAGATTCTCTTGCACGTCCGTTTCGAGCATTATGTGTCTCTACTCGAGGCCTCTCCTCCCGAAAATGCACTACAAAATGCCTCTAAACATGGCACAGCTCGATAACCTACGTCGCCAGGCTGTCGCTATAGTTGGGGCCCGTTTGGGTCGGGCCGAGCCTCCTCTTAGGAAGGAAATCGTCGAGTATATGATCGATGCCGATTCACATTTATGGAGTATGAGGCGTAGCAAGGCAAATTTTTTCCGGCTGATATCCGTTTTCAACGGGCTTTTCACGTTCGGAAAATGGTTTGCCGACGTGTGTATGTGGAAAAACCCGGTTACGACTATCTTGGTTCACGTGCTGTTTGTCATGCTCGTTTGCTTTCCCGAGCTGATTCTCCCCACTATTTTCCTCTACATGTTTTTGATTGGGCTGTGGAACTATCGGAACCGACCGAATTATCCTCCGCACATGGACGCGCGCTTGTCGTGCGCGGACCACGCGCACCCGGACGAGCTCGACGAGGAGTTCGACCATTTTCCAAGCGCGCGGGCCCACGAGCTCGTCCGGATGAGGTACGATCGGCTGAGGAGCGTGGCCGGCCGGGTGCAGACGGTGGTGGGTGACTTGGCGGCACAGGGGGAGAGAGTCCAGGCTGTGCTGAGCTGGCGGGACACTCGGGCAACCGTTATATTCATGGTGTTCTGTGTTGTGACAGCTGGCTTGTTGTATGCCGTGCCCTTCCAGCTGGCGGTTGTTTTATCGGGAATGTATGTGATGAGGCACCCGAGGTTTCGGGGGAGGCTGCCGCCGGCAGCAGCGAACTTTTTCCGGCGGCTTCCGGCGAGGACCGACAGCATGTTGTGATTGGTTGAAAGGTCTGTATGATTTTTTTTATTTTTTTTCAGTTTATGATGCTCTTGAATTGTATAGAGATGTGAAAATGCTGGATGATTTTGTATTTTGTCTACAGGTTTTGGTTACTGTCAAAGAATTCTATGTTCAGAGTTTGAGTTTTGCTTGAACATTATTGAAAGATAAATGCTGTATTTTTTCAGTGAGGATTACTTCTGTTTGTAAGTTATATGGTATAATTGTTGGAATATCACTTGTGAGTGTCCCACATTGATTATATAGGGAAAATGAGTCTAATATATAAGCCTAGTGGGCTACTCCTCCTATCACCAATTGGTTTTGGGATGGAACCTCACTAAGGTGCATCTAGGCTCACCCTCTTATGGTGCTCATCTTAGGACCTACAATGACTATCTCTACCCTGAGTGTCCCACATTGATTATATAGGGAAAATGAGTTTAGTATATAAGCCTAGTGGGCTACTCCTCCTATCACCAATTGATTTTGGGATGGAACCTCACTAAGGTGCATCTAGGCTCACCCTCTTATGGTGCGCCTTCATCTGGTCGGACCGCACTCTCTTCTCCCGGTTCTAATAATAATGTACTGTTATTCTGATTTTTTTCTGGATTTCATCATTTTGAAATTTTTGTAGTATCCTTCAAAAGAAATAACAGATAAAATGAAAAACAAGATCCACAAAATGCAAATCCTCAAAATTGCAGGGACCAGTTTCACAAATAAGCCAACTAATGGATCAGAATTATAGGAACAGAAAAATTATCTAAAATGAAAACAAAATGAACTAATTTCTACTTGTTTGTTCTGAAGATAAACTAAGCTTCATTCACACAGTGAAAAGACTGAATAATTTTTTTTTTCCAGTAAACAGATGTACATCTGGACAAAGTATGTGCAAAATGTAAAGAGAAAAAAAA